AAGTGTGTGAGATGTTATTTCTAGCTGTTAAATGTCTATATGACACTTTTGACATATCGGTTGGAGATGCTCTAAAGGATATGAAAAGGAGAAGTTTCTTTCTATCTCCTAAAAGCCAAATGTTATGACTCTTACACAGCTTTACACTCCACCCCATATGTCAAATTAAATTATTATTTTATTACATTTTAGTGTTGATTTATTTTTAATTAAAAAGAATAGAAAAGAAAAAATAATAAAATATTCATTTGACATCTTGCTTTTGGGATGTCAAAAATAACATCTCAATCTTCAGCCGTCATTCCACATCAGCTTTGACACATCGGTTGGAGTGTGTGAGATGTTATTTCTAGCTGTTAAATGTCTATATGACACTTTTGACATATCGGTTGGAGATGCTCTAAAGGATATGAAAAGGAGAAGTTTCTTTCTATCTCCTAAAAGCCAAATGTTATGGTGAGTGTGGTGGCTTTATGACGTAAGAGTCCTTGCCTCCAGATATGATTTGGCTTTTTTATCTCATGTGATCATGATCATGAGAGACCAATAATGCAGTGATATAGACACATTCATTCATTCATTCATTGCCACCAGTTTTGTTATTCAATCAAATATGGCAACGTTTTTATATACTAGCAGCTGGCTGGCTCGCTCTCTCCCGCTAGCTCCTTACCTCACAGAATATATCTGATCAAAAGGGATGTCAATTTAATCTTGAATTTGCATTTATTTTATTTTATTTGGCATTTATCACCCACGATATTGAAATTTTGCCTTATCATTTCATGAATCTTCAGAAAGGAAAAGAGATTTTAATGATTGCAATTTGTTATCGATCTCATCAATAACATTAGTATGAAAAAGAGAATGCTTACATGTACATATTGACAAACATGAAGGATATTCCCATGATTTTTCTTCTTCATGCATTGTCGACCTTGAAATGAAGTCAACCTTTTCTCTCAACATATAAAAAGGGGATTAAAAATCTAATTATAACGCCACCTACACCCTACAGGAAATTAACTAGTTGTAGGGCGGTAAATTTTTCAATGATAGGAGGTGAAATAGGAGAGCTACCTCCTATGTGAGTAAAGCTTTTGGGGTTGAATTTTTGTGAAGGAATTAAAAAGCTTCATCATGATAGGTGATTAGGATAGTACTCTTGGATGATCATGATTCGTCACGATTACTGATGACTAATTAATGAATTAATTAGTTAATTTGTGGTTGATCGATGAGAAGCCTCAAGATTACTCATGATTGGACCAAATTTCTTCATTCAATTTATGTCTTAAATTTATATTATTATTCATTCCAATTCAATCCTAGCAACCAAACGGGGCCTTAGTCTCTTGTCATTAGAACGATGCGTTTACGACATTTCATTTCTGATTTTCAGTCAAATATATCTTAGATTAGTGACGATGGCGTTGCCTTCATTTCGTGCTATTAGTGGGAGTCAGTTCGGCATGTCATAGCAAACCAAAGAGATAAGGCAAAGGTACACCATGACGAATGAGATAATCTTGAGGAATAGGAATGGGAAGGAAGAGGGTTGAGCGCTTTTGATCATGTTGGGGTCAAATTGATCAAAAAATATATATATATATATATATATTTTTTTTTATTAAATGTTTTTTAAGAATAAAATAAAATGAAATCCAATTTTCATTTAAGTCATGCAAACATTTATAACAATCTCATCATATGTGTTCGGAAAGTGACTCAAAATAAAAACAAAACAAAACAAGACTCAAATAAAAAAGAAAAACAAGCAAAAATTTTAATTTTTTTTTAAAGAAAAACCAAATTTACTTGCTAAACTCCAATACCCCCAAATTTCCTTCAATTTTGTTGGCCTAATTGTTCATCATAAAAGAGAGGGGAATATTGTGATTTGGTAGCAAAATAATAAAAAGAGAGATAGCGATATTCGAAAAGAGTACCAAGATTTTCAATCACATTTTAATATCACATAATGTGATGTAAAATTATTAATTGACATGATATATACAAATCACTTGTAGACATACATGTGGTATTAAAATGTGATTAAAAAAATTTAGTTTGATTTTGATCAGTTTTACTACCAAACTACAATCAAACCATCAACCATTGAACGGTGTGTTTGGTTCGTTTTGAGCTAAAATAAAGAGGAAAAACAAACCAAACCAAACCAACCCACTTTTGAGAAACTCTTTTGATCTTTTGTTATGTTTTCCCGATTACCAAATACCAAGAAGTAACAGTACAATTTGGTTTGGTTCAATTAAAGCGCTTTGATATATACCAAACTGAACAAAACTAATTTTGATTTCGTTCATTCATTCCAAAATTACACTTGTTTAGGGTATTATGTCGGGGAGAATTTCTAAAGGGCTAAAGCAGTACCTAACAACCAAATGCTCTTCTAATAGCGTTTGGCATAAAAACTTATAATTGATTCTGGTCATAAAAGCGTAGCATTCATAAACTACTTGCAAGTACTTCCTTAGTTTTTATATAAATAAATTTACACATTCTAATCGAAGCGCTTACGAATAGAAGTGCAGAAGCATTCCCGAACAAACTCTTAGTTTGAATTACACAACTCGAATTAGTTTGAATTTGCTGGTTTGAACCGTTGGAACGGTTGTTTTCTCACTCCCTAATTTAACATGAAGTAATTCATACATATTACAACTTTCCGACACAATTGGCAATGTGGGATTTACATTGTTATAAAAACAAATAAAGCACGTTTTCTCACAAGAAGGTTCTATGGTGTAGTGGTTAGCACTCTGGACTTTGAATCCAGCGACCTGGGTTCGACTCCCGGTAGGACCTCTCTTTTGTCAAAATTTCATTTTCATCCTTTTCTCTTAAAATTATCGTTCACATCGGGAATCGGGATCACTTAATTCTGTTGACCTTTATCTTCATTTCCTTCCCTTTCTCTCATCTCTCTCTCTCTCTCTCTCTCTCTCCTCTCAAACTTTAGCTAGTGTATTGACAAACAAAAATGGCGAACTACACAACTCTAGAAATTGTTCAAGAAAACCCAAATTCAGCCGTCTTCTTCCTTTACCTGAATCGCCCAAACCATCGAAACGCTCTATCGCGCGACTTCTTCACCGAATTCCCCAGAGCCCTCTCGTCCCTTGACCAAAACCCAGACGTCAACGTCATCGTTCTCAGCGGCGCCGGCAAGCACTTCTGCGCCGGAATCGACCTCAAAACCCTCAGCGGCGCCGGCAAGCACTTCTGCGCCGGAATCGACCTCAAAACCCTAACATCGATCTCCGACCAGTTCGTCTCCGGAGACCGAGGCCGTGCCGGAGAGAAGTTCCGTAGAGAAATCAAGGAACTGCAGGAGGCGGTCACGGCGATCGAGCGGTGCCGGAAGCCCGTGGTCGCATCAATCCACGGGGCGTGCATCGGTGGCGGTGTTGATATCGTGACCGCCTGTGACATAAGGTATTGCAGCAAGGACGCGTTCTTTTCGGTGAAAGAGGTGGACTTGGCGATCACGGCGGACCTCGGGACGCTTCAGAGGCTACCCAGCATCGTCGGGTATGGTAACGCGCTTGAATTAGCGCTTACAGGTCGGACCTTTTCGAGTTCGGAGGCTAAGGAGCTGGGCCTGGTCTCTAGAGTGTTCGGGTCCAGGGAGGAGTTGGATAACGGCGTACGTGTCGTCGCTGAGGGTAAGTTTGTCATTCCAGAAACAATGAAATTATGATTAGTAATTATTGTTTTTTTAGTTTTAAATTTTAATTAAGTAAATTGTATGCAGGAATTGGGTTGAAATCTCCACTTGCGGTTAGAGGGACGAAAGCAGTGTTGCAGAGAAGTAGGGAGCTGAATGTGGAGCAAGGCTTGGATTATGTTGCCACGTGGAATTCGGCGATGTTGTTATCTGATGATTTAAGTGAGGCGGTCTCTGCCCAAGCCCAAAAAAGAAAGCCTGTTTTTGCCAAACTCTGAATCTGTAGCTCACTTCAATTTTGTTGTTTAATAAATGGAAAATACTTCCTCGCTCCTACATAATATATTTCTAATAAAAAAATTTACAAAGTAAAAAGTGTCAACTTGTCACCGATTATGTTTTTTTGAGTGTGTAAGCACAAAACTTCATATGTATATCATCATTATTTGGATAATCAAAAACTTCATATCTATCATCGTCATAAATGGACTTAAAAGCCTCCTTATAGTTGGATGTTTGAATGGTTGTTTTGATGTTAGTATTGCTTCTCGATGCAATATCCTTAATAAATTACATCATTCAATAATTTCAAGCATAATTAGTATTTAGAGCATCTACAACCATGCTCCTTATTTTTTAAGTTAAAATTTAGCTAAAAATACACAAAAGTTATTTTAGGAGCTCTCTATAAAATTTGAATTCCAATCATACTCCTTATTTTAGAGAGTCATAAATACTATAATTATTTTTTAATTCAATATAATTGGTCTATCTCTATACAAAATAATTAAAAGTTTAAAATATGCATAAAACAAAGCAACATTAAATTATAGAGAGTCATTAAGAGTTCTTTCTCTCTACTCAGATTTAAGAGCTCCTAGAGGTCTCCTAAAATTAGGAGGTGGATCTAGAGCGTGGTTGGAGTTGTATTTTTCCAATTTCTCCTTAAAATTTGTTTTAGGAGGTGATTTAGAAAGTATATTGTAGATGCTCTTAGTATAAATTTAATATTTTTATTGTTGTAATAATTATTTGGTTGGCTATGGGCTCCCATCAAAACTATGGACCCAACAAGTCCACATCACACAACAATCGCCAAGAGATAAATTGATGGATGCCATGCCAGCAATGATTTATTTTCTTGGTCCATTCTACTGCCGTTTTTAGTATTTTCGTTTCTCCCCTGAACTTAGTTTGCAAAATAAATATTAAAATCCTTACTTTCTTTGCAATTTAACATATGATTGTACTTTATCCCAAAAGATGAAAACAAACAAAGTCCTTATAAAAAAGTCGTTCTTTGTTTGCAAGTGGAATTTTTTGTTAGTCCACTTCATCCTGACTAGGAATTGGAGAAAACCAAATTAGTTCTAAGGCACTACTTGGGTGGGGGAGTTTCTATAATGGGGGGTTATGGTGAGGGGGTGTCGTGAGAGGTTCAATCAGCCTTGATAATAGCTATCACAACAACAAATCGACGACGGTGAAGTTTAAAACCGTCGTTGTGTTTTAAAAGACGACGTTTTTACAAAACTGTCGTAGTATACCATTTTATACACCACTAAAATCAATTTCGGTAGTCTCAATTTTTAAAACACGATGCTTGTAAATTACAAACGTCGTCTTTTAAAACACGCTAGCTCCTTAAGAGAGTTCGCACTAGACCTAAAAATTTTAGATTTCCCCCAAACTTGAAAACATTCACTTCTGAACTCTCGCGGCGCCCTCTTGACTCACAACTCTTCCTAATCTTCCTCATTCTCTCCCTCTCTCAACTCTTGCCCTCGACTAGACCTCCAAGCAAGGGCGGACCCATTAAGGGACAAGAGGGGTCACATGACCCCATGAGATGCCCAAAAATGTGGTTGTGGACAGCCTGTGGAGGTCTGAGACGACCCCATGGCGAGAAGCTCGGCATCCCCAAATGCACACAAGGTGCTCGACGAAAGGCCAGAAAGGCATGCACGCAGAAGAAAAAAAAAATTAGTAAAAGAGAAGTGGAAGCACGCAGCGTAGAAAGCAGCCTTTGCTGCAACAAAAAACTATAAAAAATAAAAAATAGTAGGCCAGATACTGATGCAGCACTAAGCACAAAGTGATGGGCATGTAGTTGTAGCAACAAAAAACTATAAAATATAAATTAAAAAAAATATATATATATATAGGCAATGCCCACGGGCTGGTCTAAGAGTAACTCCACCCATTTGCCCCTTACCATGACGATGGGGGGCTGTGAATAGTGGTTGTCCTTGCAAATAGTATTGTGTGTTTCCACCCATTGCCATGGCAAAGGGCAATTACTATTCATTTTTTTGTTTTTTCACAAATTTTTTTACCTTAATAATTAATTTGGATAATATTTTCGGATAAGATTTTCGGGTTCCTACGTGTCAAGACTATTCATAATCGAATAAAATTTCTGGATAAGATTTTTGGGTTCAAATTTCGGATGAATTTCAAAATTCAAATTTCAGATAAATTTCAAAATTCAAATTTCGGATGAATTTCAAATTTCAGATAAGATTTTCATCCAATCAAATCAACCCATGTGGCATCTCTATATGGCCAAAATTTTCTATAAAACCAGAGGCTCAGCTCATATATCTCACACCACATCTTTCTATATTTTCATTTATGAGAGTTTAGAATTCATACTCCATTCTCAAATGGAAGATTTTAGGAGATGCTTGGAGAGGCAAGAGCGAGAAACAAATGAGAGAAGCCGTAGAGCAGATGAAAGAAATATGTTGCAGAGAGAAGAAGATGAACAAGTTGTCATAGCAGTGGCTTTGCTTGATGAAGAAAACCAAGGTCGCCGCCGTGGTTCACAATTGGAAATGCAAGAAATATTAACAAAATATTGAAAATGCAAGAAATATTAACAAAATATTGAAAATGCAAGAAATATTAACAAAATATTGAAAATGCAATAAACATTATATATATATATTAGGACGTTAAACTTAATAAAACGAAAATTACAAAATACTTACCTCGTTACTAAGATTTTCCCCGCTTCTATGGTTGTCCATTGCTTTTGCCAAGGCATCCCTCCATTTTCCCAACTCTTTATTGAGAATTTTCCACCTACTAGACAATGCCATTTCCGTACGAGTCGACCCCGGAATTTTTTCACAAAATTCAGCATGAATTTTTTTCCACATATGAAAAAATTTCATCTCATTGCCTGACACGGGACAATGACAAATTTGGAGCCAAGCCTCACATAAGGAAACATCTTCCATGGTGCTCCACGCCCCTCCGGTTTCGATAGAAGAAGCCATAAATATAAGAAATAAAAATACAATTTGAAAGAGAGGAAAATGTTGAGTAAAGAGTGAATAATAGTAGAAGTAGAAGAAAATGTATGAGGATTGGTGTTGAAATGGAAGGGTATTCATAGGTATTTATAGAAAAAAAAATTCAGAATATTTTGGTATTTTTTATAATAAAAAATTCGATTTTTTTTCATAATTTTATTGCCAAAAAAATGCCAGCCGTTGGATTGGAGAAGGAGAAGCAGATTGGAGTGCCCAGGCCTTGACACTTGTCTTCTACCCGTTGGAGCTTGTGCAGGGCTGACATCAGCGCACGCGAGTTTAAAAATTTAAAACCGCGCCTAACGCCATCAGCCCTCGGGCTCGAGCTCGGGCGAAACTGGCCTTCGGGCCAGCCCGTCTTCGTGGGTCCCACTCCCAGCCCGGGCTTGGGCTCCTAGCTGGAACTGGACCCCCCCCCCCAGACAGAGGCCTAGGCTGCTCGCTGGAGTTGCTCTAAGGTAGCGTTTGGGGTTGTAGCGATTAATAAAAAAACAGCTTTTAATAAAAATTTTGTGTTCCAACCCGTTTGGTAAAACCAAGAAAGGGTGACTTATTTTAAAAATGGATTTTTGTAGAAATGTCACATGAACTTATACATCAGTTTCAATTTGTCACCTTAAAGAAATATTTAGAAGAAATGTCACCTTAACATTTCAAAATCCATGATTTGTCATATGACTTTAATATTATCTAATTTTCCATATATTGTTAAAGGGTATTTTAGTCTTTTTATTTTAAAGGGAAAAAAAGAGAAAAAAATAATTAATTAGTTAAAAATTTAAAGTTTCTCTCTCCTTCGTACACTCCCACACCTTGTCCTGCTCTCTCTTCCTCTCTATCCTCTCCCATTTCTCTTGATTCATGCTATGCATGTCCCCCCTCTCTTTCTCTACCCCCAAACCATCTCTCTTCCCCAACAACACCTTACGACCAAATACCTCAAGCTGCACCAAGCCCCCACCTTGACATCTCCAGTAAAAGTGGGTACATTTTGAAAATTTAGGAATTTGGAAATTTGGGTTGTTGATTTGTAAAAGAACATCATAGTTGTACTCGGTGGATTGTGGAAATTTGTGGCGTGGAGTTCGGATCGAAGCTAAATTGGATTGGATGGGGTCAGTGGTTGCTTTGTGGGGTTGGGATTGAGGTGGTTGTTGAAGAAAAAGAGGAGGAATGAGAGAAGAAAAGGGGGTGGGGGGTTGGTTGGGTGGAGGATAGAGTGGTGATGGTGGGTGTTAAAGATAGAGAAAGGGATGAGAGAAGTTTTTTTTTCCTAATTTTTCTTTTCATTTTTAATTATTTAAAAGTTATTTATTATTTTTTTTATAATAAATTTTCCATTTTTAAAATACCATTGAAAATAAAAAGACAAAATTACCCTTGAAAATAGATGGAAAATTGGATGGTGTTAAAATCAGATGACAAATCACGAATTTTGATAAATTAAGGTGACATTTCTCCTAAATTTTTCTTTAAGGTGACAAATTGAAATTGATGTACAAGTTCAGGTGACATTTCTACAAAAATCTCTTTTAAAAACTCAGGTCAATGGAAGCAGATTCTCAAAGCAGCCCAAGACCTGCTTCTCAAAGCTGCTTTGAAAAAAAAATTAACCGGTCCTTTAATGAATATTTCATATTCCCCATAAGGCCCCTAATAACTTTCTAAAATGACAACACATATCCTTAGGAAAGAATACAATCTCGTTTGAATTGCTTCCCTACCATGTCCAAATTCTCCAGTCCACCTTCTCTTCTTCCAAAGCCGATAGCATCTTTGCCAAGAATGTCGTTCGCACCATAGCCATAGTCGCTAAGAAAGGTAGCAGGTTTATACGATTGTTCTTTTGGCTTTCTGGTTCTTTATCTTTGATTGAAACGAAAGCGTGTGAGATTCTTGGGGCTTAGGGTTCCTAATTTTGGTCATTTGGTAATTTGCGTGCAGAGGTATATTTGAACCTCATAGTAGAATGTGGAGGAGTTCCGCCCTTGGTAAAGCATCTGCAGGCACTGCTGCCGGCG